GGCGCATCTCTCCGAGATTTCACCGCCCGCCTAGCTCAATCGGATAGAGCGTCAGACTCTTACAGTCGCAAGGCAGGGTCCATCTGAAGGTTGCGAGTCGCGGTGGGCTACGGTATTATCTTTTGCCTTTTTATCTGACAGCACACAAGTCTAAACAAATTAGCGATGCTCATAACGTTGCATCTGTTAATTTCGACCCATCTTGAAAAAGATTCACAGCTATATATGCAATGGTTATCGATATCTGTCGATATGACCCATAATTTCTTGGCAAGGTGATGACAGGAGATGGGACCCGATGATGTATTTTTCGTCGCATGGTCAGCGAGTTGTCTCTCAAAGTCCTTCCATTACTGTCGATCATCATGCTAGTGATCATATTGAATATGGTGGTAGAAGGCAGAGATATTGCGTTACAGGTAGACGGAGGCAAGGAGTGTCCTCAGACCTCATGGTTCAACACACGTCGACACTCTACTTACACCCGTTGCCGGCCTGTGTTGGCGGCTGGCCCGCCGCCCGCGTCCATGATCAATTCACTACTAACAATTCTATATTCATCCAGCCACCCTATCCATACCCCTCCTCCTTCCCCCTCTCCCTCCCATCCCCTCTCACCCTCCTCCCTCCGCCTGCCTCATTCCCTCCCTCCCCATTCCCTCCTACACCACCATCCCAATACCCCTCCTCCCACCCCGCCTCCTCCTCCTCCTCATCGCCCCCACCACCGCCGCCCTTAACAGGCATAACACCCCCAGCAGCCTTGGCCGCCCTCTCCCGCGCGCGCCTGCGCCGCCTCAAAACCTTCTTCCGCGCCCTGATCGCGCGCCGATACGATGCCTCTTGGCCGTAGAACAATGCGTATTCGCAGAAGGCGCAGATCCATTCGTCCGTTGCGCCCCCGTTCGCATTCCCACCCGCACCTAGATTCGTATTCTGAGACTGGTGGGCGCGCTTCCCCCGCCGCGGGGGAATATCAGCCCCCAAGAACCTCAACGCCAGCGGACCCAACAACATGCCGTCTCCCCCTGCCCCTCCCGCCCCTCCGCCGCCATTCCCAGCAGCACCAAGGGACGAAGGTAACCTCGAGGGGACGTAGTTCCGCAAATGGTGGGGGTTCGATGCGTTAGCGAGCGCACTGCGTTTCTTCTTCTTGTTTTTTGTCTTGCTCTGCGCAACGCCTGCTCCTCCCCCTTCTGTGTTGCCTCCCTGTCCCCCATTCCCATTCCCTCCAGCATACCCAGCCCCAGCCCCACCCTGCCCGCCCAACGAATGAACGACCACCTCCCCCGTCACAGGATCCAAGAACTCCGCAGGCTGGTCTCCCGCATTATAATTGTTGGCGCTGTTCGTGTGGTTGTTGTTGGAATGGTTGTTGTTGGTATGCCTCGCTTTCGCTCCCTTCTTCGTCGTCTTCTTGCGCTCCTGCCTTGCCTGCCGCGCGAGCTCGACCTCGAACCGCTTGCGCAGTGATGCGACGTCCGCTTTGGTTTTTATGAGGCGGTCGGAGGCTGCAAGGGGGGGAAGGGGCGTCAGCTTCAGTGTGAGGGATCACAGAGGGGGGAGCAAAAGTGAAGATAATAGAAAAACCCACCAGTACTCTCACACCGAAACCCAAACTCCCCCATCGCAGGGAACGGCGCCTGGTCCGGGTGTCTACCCACCCGTCGCACGGCCCGCTGCATCCTCGCCGCCCGCCGCTGTGAGAGCCGCACCCTCTTCCTCTGTCCCCCACCACCAATACCTCCACCTCCGTTGGGATTCGCCTCAACAGCCGGTGGGAACCCGCGCGACGCGAGGTCCCCCACGCCGAGACTAGCGAGTGCCTGCTCGAGCGCGAGATTCCCCTCCGTCGCTGTCGTTGCCCCTCCTAATCCTAATCCTTCTTTACCGTCACCCCATCCCAATCCTCCCTCTTTTGCCCCGTCTCCGCCGTCATTTACATTCACATTCACATTTACATCCACGTTCGCGTTCGCGTTCACGGAAGAAGACCCAAACTCCCCAAGGGCCTTGAGGACCCCGTCCAGCTGCCTCCTCCGTACTTTCAGAAGCTCCTTGTGCGCGACGCCTGCACGCGCCGCGAGCAGCAGCTTCGAGGGCTTTTTGCGCGGAATGGGGCTCGGGATTGGGTTACTGTTGTGATTCGGGTGGTTGGCATTTGGATGGGTGTTTTGGTGGTGGGTGTAGGGCCCGGTGTGGTTGGGGTTTGGGTACGGGTGTGCAGAAGAATGTGGATGCTGCGAGGGTAGATACGAACCCAAAGGCGACCCATGCGTATGCGGAGGCTGATACACCGACTCCGTTAGGCCCTCCCCGTCGCCCTCTCCATCCCTCTCCTCCCCGAGTTCATCAGAGGGCGAATCCCTCGACAAAAAATGGTGCGAGTGTCCGTGCCCATGCCCGTGAGAATGGTGCGCGGAGGGTACCTTGCGCTTCTTGGTGTTCCCCGGCTGGGTGAGGTGCTCCATCTCGTCTTGGTCGTCTTCGGGGTCGGGGGGGAAGGAGTCGGGATCTTGGTCAGGGTCAAGATCTTCATTTTCATCTTCGTCGTCGTCTGCGTGCCGACGCCTTCCGTAGTCTCTTTCTCGTCCCTCCGCTAAATTTCTTTCTCTTTCTTCTCCTCCCCTCTGCCCCAAATTCATATTCGCATTCGGATTGGGATACACTCCACCCCCCACGCCCAACCGCGCCAGATCAGCCAACGACGCCGCTAGATCGGGTAGCGCCCGACCGGGCGCAGGCAGCGCCATCGGGTCAATACCCGCCGCCAACAACACACTGTGGAGCTGCGCTTGGATCGATACGGGGTCCAGGGACAGTGGGAGCGGGAGGTCGAACGTCTGGGTTTGGTCGGGTAGTATGGACGGGGGTTGCGTGGGTTGGTTGGGTAGGGAAGAAGGGACGGAATAGAGAGAAGTGATAGAAGCGGGTAACGAAGAGAGGGAGGGAGGGAGAGAAGAGGGAGGGAACCCGCCGACGGCAGCGGATATGGCCTCCGCTACGACAGAGGCGACGCCCCGCACGAGGGATCGGTCTGCTTCGAGGATGTCCGCCTCATCACCTCCGATTCCCAGGTGTCCATCTGAAGAAGTCGTCGTGCCACCAGCCCCAGCCCCAGCCCCAGCAGCAGCAGCCATCCCGATCCCAAGCAGCGCGTCACGGATCTCCAAGGCGCGTGAACCGAGCTGCAGTGGTGCCGTTGCGGTTCTGGTTCCTACATTGGGGTTGGCGTTAGCCCCGACACCATGAACGACCCCACTTCCGATGAGGGACCCGAGACGCCGCCGTTTAGGGAGTGGCTTCACCCGCCGGAGCGCGGGGAACTCGGCGTCGTAGAGTGGAGTCTGGTGGTAGTACCCGTGCTGGGGTGGGTGAGGAGGTGGATGAGAGGGAGGGGGAGGGGGAGGGTGCGTGTGCGGAGGCGGTAATTGGGCTTGTGGTCGTGCCATTCGTAGTGCGTTTAGTTAGTAACTGTAAAAGGTGGGAAGGTGGAGGCTGGATCTGTGATAATAATAGTAATGATATAGTACAGAATAGAGAATAGAGAATAGAGAATAGAGAGAATAGGATGAATCGTAATCGGGATCGATGTGATGGATCGAATTTTTTTGGGATTGCGATTGAGATTGATACGGGTTTTCGGGATATTGGCAATGGATACGGGATGAATAAGATGGGATACGGGGGGTTGATGGGGAGGTCGGGGTAAATTTTTGTTGCGAGGGTGGTGAGTGAGCCAGGGTAGGGGGATAGAGCAAGAACAAAAGAAAGAGAAGAGATGCCAATGAATGATATTATGAATTCAAAGCCGTGAAAGGGATTCAGGTAAGGATCGGTGAGAGGAGGAAGGGTTGTGTCAGGCAACACGAACGGGCAGAAAAACGCATATACGTCGAGGTACACACATAACAGCGGTTTCAAATTTCGAGCCAACGGGAATGCCCATCCCAATCGAGGCGACGAAAGGAATTCAAAAGATGAAGAAAAAGAGAAAGAAGCGCCCATGGTAAGAAAAAAAAATTCCAATGCGCACAAGGTGACGTGGACTTGCCGTCTAGATCTCTCTCCCAAGTCTCTATCCTCCCTGTGCTGCGTAATGTCCACAGCAAATCCCGAAGCGCTAGCTGCGGTAAATCTAGTTTCCTCGAGCGTAGGTAGAATTGTCCAAGTTCCTTGCAATGTCAGGTACGGTCCAGTGCGCTGCAGTGATTGCAGATGATGATGATGATGATGATGATGAAAGAGAGCAAGCAGGCCAGCCGTGGTCGTGGCTGACTGACTGACAGTTGTATGGGTGGCTGACGGGATTCGTCACTGTGCAGTTGATGGGAGTTACTGAACGGAAATGAAACGTGTCTTCTGACAGGAATCCGGCGCATTCGACGGCTATTTCAGGCTCCGTAATGGGGTTTGTTAACTATACAGCTCAAAGTACGAAAACAGGGCTATCACGGAATGCTACATATTTTAAAAATGGGCGATGAGGTTCTGAGGTCAAGATGAGCAGTCCGGCTGAATTCACGCCGGAAAAAAAGTTTTAATGATCTCCCTCCACCGACAAGTTCAAGCTGCTCAACCTCCGGATCCGCAAAGTAGCGAAATGTCAAATTCATTTCAAGTATACGCAGAGTACGCGATCAAGGCTGCTGCCAGTACTAAAAGAGAAACCGTACTATAAATGACTACGCTCAGAAACAGAAAAATATATCATGGATGCGAGGACGAGCAAAACAAAAACAAAAGTATCAGAAAAAAGAAAGAAAAAAGGGGGACAGTGCATGCATATGGAATATGTAATCACAACGGGAGGGACGGAGGGAGGAAAAAGAAGAAAAATACTCGATGAGACCAAAGGTACAACTATCAATGCTGATCATAAGGATTGGCTGGGTGGGTGGGGAAAGGGATAATGCGATGCTCTCAAACAAGTGTCTCGTGTCGTCTAATAACGTGTGCGTGTGCGCGATGGCGCGATGGAGGGATGAATGACGATGATCTATAACAATGCGGAATCACGATGGGCGGCGGCGGGGGGGAATGGGTTGGTCGGGGGTATCAGTCCACCTGGTGAACAAAAGAGTGGTCCGTGGTGTGGCGCGTCGTGTG